CTGCCAAATCCTCTCGCCCTCTATTAACATGTCAAATCTATTATTCACAGCCCAGACATCCGCAGCGAGTCAAAGTAGAAGGACTCTTGGACACGGGAGGAGACGTTACCATCGTCGCCTCCAAGGACTGGCCGCATGGGTGGCCCGCACAGACGGCATACGTGCAAGTTAGCGGCGTGGGGGGAACACAATACCCAGTCAGAAGCAAGGAGGTACTTACTGTTTATGGGCCGGAGGGCAGACCAGTATCCCTCCAACCATATATCTTGAACATACCAATCACACTTTGGGGACGGGACGCTATGGAGCAGTGGGAGCTCTCTCTGAGAACCCTGTCTCCTGAAGAAAATTTTTAGGTGGGGTCACTGAAGTGATGCAGCTCCCCAAACTGAGCTGGAAAACTGATGTGCCAGTTTGGGTTGATCAGTGGCCCCTACCAAGAAAAAAGCTGCAGATTTTAAATGATTTAGTGAATCAGGAATTGGCCAAAGGACACCTGGAGTCTTCCACCAGTCCCTGGAACACTCCAGTGTTTGTCATTCAAAAGTCCTCAGTTTCCTGGAGATTTCTCCAGGACCTGCGCAAAGTTAATGAGGTCCTGGAACCAATGGGAGCCCTCCAGCAGGGAATGCCGTCACCATCTATGCTCCCTGCTGAATGGCCCCTAGTGGTCATTGACATAAAGGACTGCTTCTTCCAAATATACTTAAATTCGGCTGATTCGGTCCGATTTGCATTTTCTGTCCCTGCCATCAATGCCTGTGAACCTCACCGCAGGTTCCAGTGGAAGGTGCTTCCCCACGGGATGAAAAATTCCCCAACGCTCTGTCAGATGTACGTGGTAGAAGTGTTGCATCCAATTTGGCAGAAATACCCACAATCAATCATCTTCCATTATATAGATGATGTATTGATTTGTGCCAAATCTCAGTTGGCTGTGAATAAAACGTTAAATTCAACTATTTCAGCTCTAAAAGATAAAGGATTGGAAATATCCCCTGAAAAGGTTCAAAGGGAAGCACCCTGGAGGTATCTTGGACTCAAAATTACAGAAAAAGCCATCAGGCCTCAAGCAATCGAAATTGACAAGCGAGTCCAGACATTAAACGACCTCCAAAAACTACTGGGAGCGATCAATTGGATCAGACCTGTGCTGGGGATCACAACCGATGATCTGCACCCACTGTTCGAGCTGCTCCGAGGAGATGCTGATCTGTCCTCCCCTCGTCACTTAACATCAGACGCAATAAAGGCCCTATCCACTGTTGAAAAGAAAGTGTCCGAAAGACAATCGTGTAGGAGGATGGAGGGACTGCCATCCTCCTTGGTAATCATAAGGGAAGAGAGACAGCCTTTCGGCCTTCTAGGCCAGTTTACCGGCGACAAAAAGGACTTCTGTTTGTGGGAGTGGATATTCCTCCCGCACCAATTTGGCAAGACGATCACCACCGTCTCAGAAATGATTGGTAAGATAATATTCAAAGGTCGCACTAGGTGTTTAGAACTCAGCGGTGAGGAACTGGATTTTATCTACCTCCCACTGACTTCTGAACACCTAGAACAACTGTTGCAAACTTCCATTGATTTTCAAATCGCCATCGGAGGCTACCCGGGAGAAATTCGGCTACACCTCCCGGCGTGCCCATTTATTCAGAGATTAATCAAAATCCCGCTGAAACTAAAAATTGTTCAATCGGATTTACCCATAAAGAACACTAAAACCATATTTACTGATGGCTCTGGGAGAACTGGCAATGCGGTTGTAATTTGGCGAGAAAAAGACAACTGGCTACACGATATACATAAAGTACAAGGTTCTCCCCAAATCGTGGAACTTTCGGCAGTTGTGCGAGCTTTCCAAATTTTTAGTGGTGAGCCAATTAACATAGTTTCAGATTCGGTCTATGTTGTTGGTGTGGTCAAACATATTGAAAATTCATATCTAAAAGATGTGTCCAATCGGAGTTTATTTGAATTGCTGACTAAATTGCTATTTTTAATTCAGAATAGACAATTCAGCTTTTTTATTGTCCACACCAGGTCACACACCGCTCTACCAGGTCCTGTGGCGGAGGGAAACCAGCTTGCCGACCATCTGGCAGGTATGGTGGTTACTCCCAATTTATACCAACAAGCTAAGATTTCTCTTGAGTTCTTCCACCAAAATGCACGGTCACTACAGAAACAATATGGCCTCAAACTATCGCAAGTAAAGGAAATTTTGAAAACGTGCCCTGATTGTCAGATTATCACGCCAGTCATCCCGGAAGGAATCAATCCGAGAGGTCTTTCGGCATTAGAAATCTGGCAATCAGATGTCACACACATCCCTGAATTTGGCAGACTAAAATATGTGCATGTGTCCGTTGACACCTTCTCAAAAATGATTGTGGTCACCGCGCATTTTGGTGAGAAGAGCCGTGATGTAAAAAGACACTTCCTGTCCGCATTCGCGAGGATGGGTGTCCCAAAGCAAATAAAAACAGACAACGGGCCCTCCTACGTGTCTGCGGACATGAAGCGGTTTTTTGAACAATGGGGAGTACACCATACCACCGGGATCCCTCACAATCCCACAGGACAGGGTATAGTGGAGCATGCCCACCAAAACATCAAAAATTTGCTGAAAAAACAAAAAAGGGGGAGTATTGGCCTGTCCCCCCAAGAGAAATTAGATAAAATTATGTATGTTTTAAATTTTTTGAGTCTGCTGGAGGAATCAGACACTCACGCAAACAGAAGTCCAGCAGATCGCCATTTCGGGTCCAGCTCCACCACTGTAACCTCTTTAAAAGCTAAGATCATGTACCGGGACCCACTAACCGAAACATGGACGGGCCCTTTCCCCTTGATCACCTGGGGGAAGGGCTACGCCTGTATTTCAGGTCCGGATGGGCCAAAGTGGGTCCCAGCCAAGAGAGTTAAAATACATCACGAGTGAACTGCGCAGGAACCACAATGTGTCAACTTCGCGCTACTGCGATCTTCAGCATTGTCATCCTCGGACTCGTCCCTCTCTGCGGCATGATACCTCTGCAGGAGCGGATGAGTCAGCCCGGAGAAAACTTGTGGGTAACGCTGGCCAAGACTACACGGACACCTTGTGCCTGGCCTCGGCTAGTGCAGGGAGTCCATTCCGCACATGCCTCGTGGGGATTCCCATCACCCCTGTGGAGTGGAACTCCTTTGTATCCCAAACCCGCAACAAAGGAGCCATCCCACTTAATTTTCCAAATCTCGCCCAAACCATTGCAGCACTTAATTTTATTGACATTGCTTTTCAAGAGATTGATTTGTTAGGTTTGCTCCCCGCCACTGCCTGTGTTATTTTTCACCGGTATACTCAACCCATTCTGTTTACGCCCCACAACGTTACTGTAAACAAACCGCTTTACCGCGGGACCTCTTCGCCGTGGTGCAATGATTCAATTGCAACCACCATCCCTACAGAACACATCCCAAGAAACATGAGATTTCTGAAGGGATATTTCCTATTGTGCGGGGATCGGGCATGGCCAGGTATTAGGGCCTACCCTGAGGGAGGTCCGTGCACAATAGGAAAACTGGCCTTATTTAACCCGGCGAAGTTCCAATTGGTTAATGAATTTGTGTTATCTAAAAGTTATGAGAAAAGGTCCCTTCGGGTAAAGCGGGATTGGAGATTCCCTCCAAAGTCCCCCAAACCTCAACCCGGACCAAAGGTCACACCCCCACAGATTAAGCTCCAAAACTCCCTTCCTGAGCCACATGTGAATGTTGGAAGGCCCACACCTCTGCCCTTCCCAGAGGATTGTGACTCCAGCATTCATATCTGGTCAAGGGTAAAGAACTTTTGGGCGTCCTTCCCTATCTCTGGGATAGGAACCGCGCATGCTCTCTCTCTCGATGCACTTAGGTTGCTGGTTGACTAAGGAAGCGAATGCCACCACTCAAGCGATTGAGGGCCTGCTGGAGGACACCCAAAAGCTTAAAGAGGTTAGCTTGCAAAATCGAGCAGCCATTGATTTCCTTCTCCTGGCACACGGTCATGGGTGCCAGGAATTTGAAGGAATGTGTTGTATGAATTTCTCTGACCATGCCGAGTCGATTCATCAGAGTATTAACCAGCTAAAAGGTCTGGTCAGAGAAATTCACCAAGAGAAAAGTGAAGGGTTCGATAACCTCTTTGATTGGCTCCAGTTACCAAATTTTCCAAATTGGTCCAAGAAGCTTATTATGTTGTGCGTTTTATCCCTTTTTGGTTTAGTTTCTGTCTGTACTATTTTACCATGTCTGATTCTATGTTTGTGCAAGTTGCTGCTGAGCTCCATCGAGGCAAACATCGCCCGCGTTTCAGAAAACAAAGAAGGGGGAGATGTTGGAGAACATAAAGCTGAGTGGGAACAATTTCAAGCATGGCGCAGAATTTACAACCCAGAATGAGACATTCTACACCTGAATGGACACTACTTCACTGGACTTTACCTTATTATACTGGATATGACATCACCCTGGATTGGACAGTTCATCCCCAGTTATCCCCAGTTGTCCCCGGTTTATTATTGTACTGTTATACTGTTGTCTGTACCCCAGTTGTTGTTTTTAAATTATCCACCATATTGTCTCCCTCATCCCCTCACAGTTTTCCCCTGTTTTCCTGGTCCCCTGCACCTGATTGGCCACTAAGTGCTGTAGTGCAGGAAGAGCTGCCATTGGCCTGTTTCCCAGTTACATCAAAACTCCTCCCCTCCTTGCCCGGTTACTTAATCACATTCATCCCTGAGTTGTCAGTCTTATGCTCCTCCCTAGTCCAAACTCCACCCTTGAACCTACCCTATATAAGTTACTGTTACTCCTAATAAAATCAGCATTGCTCCACGAGACCTCTGCTGTGTCCCGAACCCTTTTTGCAGTGCCGCGTTCCCATTCCTTTTCCCCGCGGGTCGTGGCACACATTGAAAGTATGAAACTTGACTTATAAAGAAGTGAAATGCTTCACAGAAGCATGGATTCCTGAGTTATTCTGAATACAATCTCTCATTTACTGTAATTCAGAACACTTCTCCAATTGGCTTAAGCAGCAGAAGAATGGATACTTCATAAACACAGAGTTAAGATACAGTTAAAAATCACAAACGCAAATCACCTCGGTCTTAGTAGAAAAGTATCTTACAATGAGGGGCACAAAAACCAGTTGATTGGTTTCTCAAGTTCACAGTCAATTCAAATGTATTGTAGGTACCTGCTTTCACCTTGTCCACAGGCACATGTTATAAAGTCCTCTTGACATCAGACCTAAAAGTATCTCTGTTTCTGAATAATCATACAGAAGGACTGATTACCCAGACAAGCACTGTTATAACTGAAAAAAATAGCGTAAGGTGCTTTCACTTCTTTTTCTCTTTTTCCGCTTTCCTTCTCTGTTGTAGCATCTTTAGTTCAGTCATTACATTCAAAGTTCTGTAAACCCAGCTGACCTGAAAAGTAAGTATATTATGAAATCCACTTATCAATTTAATGAAAGCATCCATATAAATGAACATATACATACCACAATTATAACTGTATTCACCAGCAGTGGCGCTGAAAATACAAGCGAAATAAACATTCCTCTTGAATCAAAGTATTGGTATTTAGAAAACAATCTGAAAGAAATACAGTAAAAACGAGAGAGGAAGCTTTATTCAGTGTAGTTCATATATTAGACTTTCACAGTAGTTATTTAACATGGACATTGTACAAATCATCCTACTTCTCAGGATCCCCAAGCATAGGCCAGCATTCTACTGTATTAAGTCAGAAAAAAGAGGTAGTTGATATCTCATCAATGATGAATATTTATTACAATACCAGCATTTCTCTTCTTTAAAGTTTTATTGCAAAACACTAAATAAAACAACTATAAATTAAGAAACTTAGCAATGTGACTACAAGAGTACGTATATTTGTACCTCAGAAATCATTTTTATCCTAAAGTGCCTGCAATTACCTTCTTAGGTATTTTGTTTACTTATATTAGAAAAGATAACAGAAATAGTAAATGTAATAAAGCCGTAATTTAAATCATGTATGCCTGAAGTGAAACATAAAAGACTTACAGTTATCTGCCTGCATAAAGTAGTTTTAAATGCATAATTTGTAGTTTTGTCAGGGAAAGATTAGTTCAATTTTATCAAAGTAAGGTATCAGTTTAACTCTGGTATACAGGTTTAATAAAACAGACAAATTTTAATGCTTTTTATGCATACAAGTAAGTATATAAAGCAGCAGTGATATTTTTAAGAAGGAGTTCTTCAGCTTATTAAATGTGAATAACTACCAAAGAAAACCCAGCAAAAACAAAACCCAAAGTTTGCACCCTTTTCCTCTTAACCATAGCACTCTGCTTTTCTCTTAGTTCTGTGACCAGTTAGTTTACCACCATACCTATAGACACAGATTTTAAGCAGTAAAATAAAGGCATGCTAGCTACAAAAAATTATCATTTCTTATAACCTAAGTGATATTTATATTGTATTGTATAGTTTTATTTAAAAAATGAAAGTGAAAGCAGTTACCTCCAATTCATGGCTGCTAATTCATTGATATATTCAGCACAGTACACTAAGCCCACTGTACAACAAAAGAAAACTATTAGATTCCGTATTTCTTTAAAAATAGTGCCATCAGTTCTGTGATGTATACTAAAGATGTGTACATACCAGATATTAGAATCCCTTGATCCTCAGAAGATCCTTCAATATTTAACTGCACAAAACCAATTCTGATTTAAATGTCTCATATAGTTACTAAAAAGTATTAAGCGATCACAAAACATACCCCCTATATTACAAACAAACAAACAAATGTAAAATCCTAGTCATCTTAGCTTACAGAAAAAGCTCACCATACAAATGAATACTAATGAAAAGACTCAAACACCAAACTGCTTTTTTTCCCAACAATCCTCTTAGTGACTGCTTCCAAGTTACATCTGTAAAAAGAAATGCAAGTGCTCCCCAAAGTTAGTATAGAATTAAGTTATTATTATACATTTTATGGTGTCACACTGTTTTATCTAACATTATTATCTCATGTTTGGGTACTAATAATATACAAGCACTTTGGTAAAATACAAACTGTTTCAACAGGTATACAGTAGAGTAGTCTACTGTAATCAGGTGCAAACCAGCATGTTCTTACTTGAGTTCAGCATATTCTTACTTGAATTACATTCAATATGAAGCCATCAAGACATTAAGAAAATGGCAATTTTCAGTACAATCACATTTAACAGAAAAGCAACACACAAAAATTTTAAACCTGAAACAAAGAGAACCCCCCAGATTCAATGGCTAAAGATGACCTGCACAAGGTCATAACTAGTCTGGTGGTTGAAGGAGTGCTATCTTGATGTGCCATCAACTGGATTACCTGTGCTTGGTACTGTACAGTATAAACATACCTATGGCTGCTTGGTTGCCAAGGCAGACCAATGTGATAATTTCATAATTTCCTCAGCTATTTCTAATTATCTACAATACAAAATAATTTCTATTGCAGATATATAAAAAATGGTTCAGTTTCTCAGGTACAAACAAGGCTTGTACTCAATATGGCTAGTTTTATGCACTCTGTATTATCAGTAAGTTTACATCATTCCTAGGAGTCTAAAGTAAACAGCATGCCATTGGAAATTCTGAATGTCTAATACTAACACAGAAAAGGCTGTATTCTTATAGGGAACTTCAGGCCTGATGTGTCAAGAACAGGCCATTGTTAGTTTGCCCTCTATAGATCATTTAATAAATCCAGGTACAACTGGATGTAGAGACATTACATATAAGTGGAAGTACAGAAAGGTTTCTAGATTCCCTTTTTGGGAGTATTACATATTATTAAAACCTTAGCTTTAGCTGAGTTATTTGCCGTTTTGAAGAAGCTATAATTCCTCTACCAACAGGACTAACAAATAAATGGTATTTTTAAAGTCAACATAGTCTTCCAGTGGCTTTTTTTGCCTGCAAATCTCTTTCAATTGCTCATTCTTCTACCTCCACGCTGCAACCATGACAGAGTTGTGGTACTGTATAAGGAAGCACAACTCAGTAGAAAATCCAACACATGGCACAAGGTAGTGCTCATAATATATGGATCCAATCCAAATCTATGTGATCTTAATTAAACCAAAGCTAGTAGGTCTTCTGTCAGTCAGCTGTGAAGATATAGCTTTGATACAGCAAGGCCACTGTGGATTCTCAGGCTGAAGGCTGTCAAACCCTGAGATAATACAAGTTGTTACTCCTCATGCCATTATCATGGCTGTCAGTAGGGTACATGGTGAAGTTGCTGTGGAAACTAAAGATGACCATATTCACTGAACTGCAGCACTAGAACAAGACAGAGTAGAAAGCAACTGCACTCAGTCGATTTCTTTTCTGCTTCTCCAGCACAGCAACAATTTACTGGGAAGCTGTGATACACGCGGCAATGACCCTGTAGAAACCTTACTCATCCCAGATCCTCACTAACGCCAGAATTTTAAGTCACTACTTCATACGTTTTCTTGGAAAGAAAATAAATACACATTTACAGGTCACGGCAGATTCTACAGCACATCATCACCTACAGGCGCATGCATTGCAACCAGAGAAATACGAATTTGCGAGGACTTCATCTGCTCCCAAGCAGAGCACGGTGTGCCCGTGCACTCACCCATGCAGAGGAAGTGCCCGACCTGCACCCGGCGGTGCTGCAGGGACGCGCACGTCAGGAGGAAGCACAAGAGGTGGAAGGCGGCCAGCCCCAGCAGCCAGGGCTCGGACCAGTCCGTGCTCTGCGGGCAGAACGAAAGCGCATCAGGCAGCGGCCGCAAAAGAGGCGTCGCCGGGAGCCACCGCGACCGGAGCTCCTTCGCTCCTTCTCCCTCACCGAACGCGGCCGTTCTCGGTCACTGACCGCGCCCCGCAGCCCTCCCGCGCCGTGCTCGGGAAGGAGCGCGCACACAGCAAGGGCTCTTTCCCCCCCGCCGGACGGCCCCGCTCCCTTCCCTAGGGGCCCCGCAGCCCCGCGCCCTCGGCAGCCCCGCGGCCCCGCTCCCCCCACCGCCAGCACGGGCGACAGCCCCGGGCGGCCCTGCAGCGCGGCTCCATGGCGGCGGCGGCGCGGCGCGGCGCTTCTCGCGAGACTCGGGGCTTGCCGGCTGCGGGCTGCCGGCTGCGGGGCTGCGGCTGCCGGGGCTGCGGCTGCGGGGCTGCCGGGCTGCGGGGCTGGCCGGCTGCGGGGCTGGCGGCTGCGGGGCTGCCGCTGCGGGGCGTTGCCGGCTGCGGGGCTTGCCCGGCTGCGGGGCTGCGGCTGCGGGGCTGCCGGGCTGTTCCCCTGGGGGGCGGTGGCGGCTCCTGGCGCGGCCCCGCATCTCGCGGGAGGGAAGGGGCGGCGGCTCGTCCCGCATTTTGGGGGACGAGCAGAAGTGGTTTCTCACACCTCCTCCTTAGGGTGGCACTAGGCCAGAACTGCCTCTCCTGGTTGTGTGTCTGACAGAAACGGCGCTGGCTTTTCCGAGCGGGGAGGGAGCTCTGGTCTTGTGTCCGGCGTTTGATGCTGCCGTTGGGAAGCCACCAGTGTCACTTGCTGGTGTTTGGGGCCAACCTGGTCCCAGGGTCCGTGGTCCAGCACTGGTGTTGGCTTTTTGGTCTCCTCTCAGCAACACCTACTGTTGCCTGTAGCAGTGGAAGGGCAGATAAAAAAGGAGTTTTAATCCCGGCTGGAAATTTGCTAACAAACACAGATGAGCACTCCAGGCAGGAACTTAAGTCAAATGAAAAAATAACACTTGTTTTCAAGTTAAAAAAAAATAAAAATCATTACGATGGAAGGTCAACAACACATTTAAAGGCTAAACCTCCTAATTTATAATCCCTTTTGCCAAGTGTACATTGGTCTGGAAGAACTGGCCATTCTTAAGACCTACCACTTAAAAAGAATTTCAAACTCAGATTCCTATCAAGTAAGTCCAGAGATTTCGTGAAATCTAAAAGGATTAGCTTTGTCGAACAAACCATATGTCATATATACCTCCACGTTCTGCTTTCATTAAATTATTTTTTTTCTGACAGTTTGGCTTATCAGATGTAAAGCTTTGGCTTTTTTTCCCAAATGTTTTTTTTTTTTAAATCTTACTGTATAAGTAAATATTATATACACTCTTCATTTAGTCTACCACAGAGTCAAATGCAGGTCATCACTGTGCACTGCTCTGTCTTCACTGTCAGACTTCTGCAATTTAGTGTGAGATAGTTGAAACTGAGGTTGTGTTTCTTTTTTGCTTTAGGTTTTTGTTAATCTTTTCCCCAACAACAATAGTATCTGGAGGCTAATAAAGACTTTCACTTAAAAACATTGTAAAATTAAGTAAGGTCATATAATGGTGGTTATTTTTACTACCATTATGCTCTTAAAATTAAGACTGGGGGGAAAAGATGTTTTGATTCCACGTTGTAGATAGGGAAGTAAGACCAGAATAAACACTAGCATTAGTACAGGCTGGGTCTGACCTGCTGGAAAGCAGCTCTGCAGAGAAGGACCTGGGGGTCTTGGTGGGCTACAAACTGTCCATGAGCCCTTGTGACCAAGAAAGCCATTGGTTTCCTGGGGTACATTGGGAAGAGCACTGCCAGCAGGTCGAGGGAGGTGATCCTGCCCCTCTACTCAGCCCTACTGAGGCCACATCTGGACTGTTGTGTCCAGTTCTGGGTTCCTCAGTACAAGAGAGACATGGAGCTCCTGGAGCCAGTGCAGCAGAGGGCAACAAAGAAGACTAGGGGACTGGAGAATCTCTCTTATGAGAAAGGCTGAGGGAGCTGGGCCTGTTCAGCCTCGAGAAGAGACACCTTGAGAAGAGACACCTGAGAGGAGACCTCATCAATTGTCTGTATCTGAAGGGAGAGTGTCAAGAGGATGGAGCCAGTCTCTTCTTGGTGGTGTCAAGCGACAGGACAAGAGGCAATGGGCAGAAATGGATGCACAGGAAGTTCCACCTGAATAGGAGGAAAAACTTTACTGTGCAGGTGATCACACACTGGAACTGGTTACCCAGAGAGGTTGTGGACCCTCCCTCACCAGAGATATTCAAGAACCATCTGGACACAATCCTGTGCAATGTGCTCTAGGATGACCCTGCTTGAGCAGGGAGGTTGGACCAGATGACCCACAGTGGTCCCTTCCAACCTGACCCATTCTGTCATTCTGTGATTCTGTGACTTGTTGTTTGGAAAGTCTCACAGCTAATAACAAATCAAATGGTTTTGTGTTTCGTAAATAAGGAATGAGTTTCTTGTAATTGCTCAGTAATTGACTACAGAAACTGTCTGCAACAGCTGAAGGTCTCCAACAAATGCAGGATACAGCCACTGCTACATGACTGGAATATACTGGTCAGTAGTTAATCTGTGGTGCAGACAAACTGGATGGATAAAAAAATATTGGCTTACTATGGCTACAACACGCTGAATTAAAACTTCATGTAGCTTTTACTATCAGCCACATCAGTGGAAACTTTCTTATAGGGAAGTAGAAGTTCCTTCTTTGGCTAGGATAAAGTTAATAATGCTGTTTGTCAGCAGATGGTAGCAGATACATAAGTATTACCAGATCCTTTGTGTGGTATATGTTCTCTTTCATTTATTTTTAGTGGAGAATGAAATGTGAACAGAAGATACTTAGAAGGCAATAAACAGGTACCTTACTCTTTTATATGGAAAAACCTGTTTATTTTTCCTTTTATAGTTTCTTTGTAGAGCTAGCATGCTACAGTTAGATCATAAGTTTTAAAATACTCTAACTATAAATATACTGTACCAATAATAATATATAAATATTACTGTTCATGTTATTATAAGTAACTTAAGTAGTTTCTAAAGCTCAGTCTCAGTTTTTCTATTGTAAGATTCAGATTCCTGTGTACTTTATTTCCTCACTACAATATTATCCAAGTAGATTGGATGAAAAATTAAAAAAAAAAAAGAGTTGATTAGTAAAATGAATATTTTTCCCTTTTTACAACAGAAAAACTTCATCTACTTTACCTAGGAAAGGATCTAAAATCAGAAATCTTAAGTTTAGATTGCTGAAAAAACAAACTGGATTGTAAAAACCTGCATATGATGGGGAATCCCAAACAAATGCTAAATTAGGTTTCTTGTGGTAGTCCTACATGCACGTTTGCTAGCAGATCATATGGCGCTGTACTAGAAACCATTTGGAAGTGCCTTTTATACTTCCTGCTGAGGGAATACAGCTCTGAGTCTCTGTGAGAAGATGTAAGAAGATGTGCAAGCAAGTGAATGGGGCAGCACCCTTCCAGAGCATCAATCAAGGCAAAGATAGAAGGCAGTTAGTCACAGGTACACCCAATTTCTGTGCTTTGCAAAGATCCCACTGCTGAGTTCTGCTGTGAGGACAGTGACTGCTCATCTCTGCATCTCCTGCCTGTCTCACAGCCTTGCTCCTGGGGAGTCGAATGTTGTACTGACTGTCTTGGATAGTCTTTTCAGAGCTCTGAGAGGCGTGAGCAGTTTCACTATGAAAATAGCCTGAGCCTGGGAGAGGAGTCTGGAGGATCATTGTTGCTGTGGTCACTTCCAGGCCATCATTTTTATCTGTCCTGAAGATTTTCCTTATATACATGGTTGTGCTCAAAAGCTATCTTAAATTTGCATTTGCTTCCCAATGCAACTGAAGTAAACCTGGATCTGGTATTCATTCTAATACAGGTTTCACTGAAATCCTTCACTTTCCCTGTCCTTGCCATTATCAAAAGATTATTTTTGAGTGCCTCCATTATTTTTGCAGCTTCTGTCATCTCTTTACCTTTCTATAGTAGCAGCTTTTATTGATTATGAGGTGCTTGGAAAAAAGAATAATACTCATAGTATTCTAAAGATTTCTTTAGAAATAGAATTTAAAACTTACTCTGGATAGTTTTTTGTATATCATTTGTGGGTTTCAGGTTTAGATGATGGATGCTACTTCTAAGCTTGAGATTAGTTCTGCTTTGAGAATGAGAGTTGGACTGGATGACCTGCAGAGGTCTGACCTACATTGCTCTATAATTTTTAATTTCCAGTGATATAGACTGGGACCGATTGGCTGGGTGGTACCACTGCTGAGCCTAGGGGGGGCAAAAAGCTGAACATAAACCAGCTGTGTAACCTGGCAGCAAACAGTGCCAACAGTTTCCTTTGCTATGTTAACAGCATACTCAGGAGGTTAATGGATTCACCATTCATTAGAACACATCTACATCTACCTTTGGATACTTCAAATACAAGAACAATAATGATAAACTGCGAAAATTCAGCAGAGGGCTGTCAAAATATTCAGGGAGTTGAAACCTTTGTCCTGCAGCGGGGGCTGGGGGAGTTGGGCTTGTTTGGCCTGAACAAGAGGTGGCTCTAGGGGAAACTTGCTGGCAACCTGCCAGGCTCTTCTGGTGGTGTGCTGTGAGAATGAGATGCAGTGCACATAAATTGAAACTAGAAGTTTGGGCTGGATATAAGGAAAAGCTTTTTCCTCATGAGGACAATCAAATAATGGAAAAGGTATCCAAAGAGGTTGTGGATTTTTTTGAGATTTTCAGGACCCAGATTGATAAAGCCCTGACCAACCCAGTCTGGCTTCATAGTGAATTTTGCATTGAGCAGGAGATTGAAATGAGTTTCTAAGGTCTCTTCCAGTCTGAATTATTCTGATTCCATGATTCCACAATTTAAAGTGAGAAAAATCAACTGTCTAGCTGTGTTCACTAAACAAGTATCGCTTTAGTCTGAAAGTTAAATAAATGCTTCTGTATGTTTTTTTCAGAATCTTTTTCCCTTAACATCATCTCTTTCATCCAGTTTCTGCAAGGGCTTTTTTTCCTCATTTCAGAGCAGTTTCAGGCATCTTCAGGCTTATTTTTATTCCTCTGCTATTCCCAAACTTTACAGGCAGTCTGAAATGCAAATGTCTTTTTTTCCTCTACCTACTAACAAGACTGCCTATTAAATTGTTCCACTAATCCCACCAAAGATCTCAGAATTATTTCAAAGCCCTGCTGTGTTCTGGCAAAGCAACCAGATTTTATTTCTGTTGGGATCATTGTCCAGTCAGGGTGGAAGAGGCCAAATCCTGTTCTTAATTATACACTTTACTTTCTCTTTGACTCCCTCTGAAGTTTTCTTCTCATAGAATTGCTGTATTGACTGGTTTTGATCTTAGAAGTACCACCTTTTGTCATTCCATGGGATGGTATGGAAATTAAGCACCTTTACGTTTCTTTGATGTGTGGGCATTGAACTGGGCACACAATACAGTGCATTTAAGTTGCAACACAACTATTGCAAGGGGGAAAAGAAATATTTAGGATGTGTAGGACAATTTTCATGATTGTATCTGATCTGACTGAGGAGCTTG